AACATGCAACTTGGATATAACTGGAATAAAACAAAATTGGAGACTGAAGATCTCCAGGCAAGATGAATAGGAAGTAAAAGTACAGACAGTGCTCAATATAAGGATGTGCAAACCAATACAAATTAAGACAAATTTCTTGATTTCATAGTTATACTGATTGCTGTTGGATGACATACCAGGAAAAAGAATATGACGTCAAAACAGCTACCTGCATGAAAACTAATTGTACAATGACTGAAAATAAAATAAAACTGCCAATGCGAAAAAGGCCATAAAGAAATCTATGCTGCTGCCACAGTTATACACAATTAAAACAGTATATAGTTCTGTTGACTCCATCTGCAAAACTGCATTGAGGAGCTGGAAAAGGTACAACCAGAGGTCTGAGTGCTTTCTCAAGGAAAGAGATTAAAGCATTTGGAATTTTTAAAATTTAAAATTGTTGATAAGGAAGCATAAAAATGGTATATTAAACCGAGATGACAGATCTGGCTGTGTTGACACATGCCTTGACCACATCCCGTTTGGACTACCGTAACACAATCTATATGAGGCTGCCTTTGGGAACTGTTCAGAAACTCTAACAGGTTCAAAATGCACCAGCCAGAAAGCTGTTCAGGGACAGTTATAAGGAGCATATAACTCTCTTGTTAAAACAGCTTTAAAGGCTTCCAGTATGTTTCTAGGCACAATACAAGGTGCTGGTCATGACCTATAAAGCCCTATATGGCTTGAGTCCAGACTATCTGAATGACAATCAATATGAACCTGCTAGAACTCTAAGATCCTCAGGGGAAGACTTTGGGCCTTTGCAGACTGCCAAAAATAGTGCAAATTGAGTCCACTTTAAGAGTTAGGGTTAGTGCTAGGGAATCATGGGAATTGTGTTTTTTTTCTGAGACATTGAGCCTTCTCTGTCAGAGAGCTCTGGTGCCACAATAAAACAGTTCCCATGATTCCCTAGCACTGAGCCAGGGCAGTTAAAGTGGACTCAATTTGCACTATTTCTAGCAGTCCGCAAAGGCCCTTTCTCTTGGTCCTGCCACCATCGCAGGCTCACTTGGTGTGAACATGAGAGCCTTCTCCGTGACTGCTCCAACCCTCTTGAATGCCCTTCCAAAGGAAGCTAGTCTAGCTCTCCCACTGCTTTCCTTTCTGTTTAAGCACACTTTTAATCTATAAGTAGAGGGACTTTTTATTGGGGATGTATGATTTATTTATCTTTTAAACTTCAAGTTGCTTTTTAAATGATTTTAAAGTGTTTTATGAGGTTATTTTAATTGTTTTAAAATGTTATTATAAACAATTTTAATTTACTATTTCTGGAAGCTACCTTGGGTCCCACTCCCCATATAAATTAAATAAATTATACATGGCATAGAAAAGTGAAAAGTACTTTTTTTTCTTGTTAATGTCAGCAGAATGACTGGCAGATTCTAACAGAGAAAATGCAGTACTGGTTAATGCAATGCAAAATTTACTGCCACAAGATAGGCAATGACAACTCGCTTGCATGGTTTTAAAGGTGAATTAGGAAAATTAGGTCACAGATCATTCAGTGTCTACTAAACTCATCCTATATTCTAATAGTGTGTACACCCCTCTCGTGTGCATACTAGAAAAAAATCACTGAAATCATTTCTTCCAATTTTGGAGACTTCCATGAGCAACAGTCTGTGTTAAACAAAGCACAGTGTATCCCAAACCTTATGAATCAGCAAGAAGTGAACTTCCAATTATGATTTTATTTTATATTATTTTTGTAATTTTCAGTATTTTTTGGCCTGGGCAGAAGAATGTACCCTATATATTCAACTATAAGTCAACCTCATGTATAAGTCAAGGGCAGGTTTTGGGGCCAAAATTATGGGGTTTGCCATGACTCATGGATAAGTCAAGGGTAAAACTTGCCAGGCTCTTTCAGTGTTTGTATGTGGCACAGTGGTTAAATGCCTGTACTGCAGCCACTCACTCATAAACCACAAAGTTGTGAGTTCAATACTAGCCAGGGCTCATGCTTGACTCAGGCATGCATCCTTCCGAGGTCACGAAAATGAGTACCCAGCTGTTGGGGGGCAATGAGCTTACAGTTGTAAACTGCTTAGACACTGCATAACACAGTATGAAGCGGTATATAAATGAAGCTGCTTTGCTTTGCTTTTGCATACAGCAAGAGAGACTCTAATTGAGGCTGTTTGTTTCAACTTTGGTTCCAGCCTTCATCCAGACATCAACAAGAGGGTCTCTGTTTGTTTGTTTAAAAGCAATTAATCACTCAGGACTCTTTATACTTGGCTCAAGAGAAAAAGAAACTACAATTGCCCCTCTGTTCTTGTGGACTTGAAGTCCGCGGTTTTGCATATTCACAGAGGGGCAACTGCTGTTAAAATCAATGGGGCATGTGCCCATGGCAGTGTGCCCCATTCAAGCCTATGGAGCTTGAATATTGGTGAATCTCTGTTTTCGCAGGGGGGTTAGGAAAGGATCCCCCATGAAAACGGATGTCCAACTATATCTTTCACCACATGGAAAAATCTAAAAGAGCTGCTATCACATTATCATAATGACTCGTAAGCAAGTTGAGCTGGGATTTTGGGGTCAACTTTTAGGCATAATTTTTAAGACTTATAGACAAGTATATATGGTAGGTTCTAGAGCAGGAATGCACAATGTGCAGACCATGGTCTACCCAGGCTGATTTTTGTAAAATAAAAAATGTAAAATAACTTTTTGACCCCCAAATGCCCAGAAATTATCTCAATGGGGTTTAGAGGGCATTCCCACATGTTTTGAGCCCCCATGGACTGCCCCAGTGTCAAAATGAAATGTTGGGGAATTTTTCCAAAAAATCTTTTTTGCCTCAAAATATCCCAAAATGTCCTCTAGGTGCCCAGAAAGGCCCAAAAACATTCCTATGTGTTCCATAGTGTGTGTGTGTGTTGTTGTTGTTGTTGGATTTATTTAGCTAGTTAGTTTGCAGGAGCACTGCAGGCCTCCAAAGTCTCCTTGAGGGTCTCCTAATCTTCCATAATTGCCCACCTTTGTTCTAGTGGTTAAAAACAAGTCCCCTGAACACCCAAAGTTGCCTGCCCCAGCTATACATATTTAAGTGGGAACAAGTCTCATTGAATACATGGGACACAATCCTATGGGAGGCCATGATTTGGACAGTTTGTCTGCTGATGACTAGCATATAATGTAAAAAGTAAATGCTCTTTATTTTTTATTATTATGTAAGTTATTTTCTGTATTTTTAAAGTTGGAATAAATAAAATTAAAAAAAAAAAAGAATACATGGGACACAATCCTAAGTACATATGCACAGCACTGTACTGTTTATCAAAATGACTATACAGAAACTCCATGTTCAAAAGCAGGGTGTCACTGAGAGCCAGTTGATAGGGAACTGCAGCAAGAAAAGGCTATTGCTTCATGGTATCTGGTAAGGTAATATGACACCAGGATGTTGGACAACATCCTTCATGTCATCCAGCAGAACTCAGTACAGTAGGCCCTCTGTATCTGCAGACTTGCCATCCGTGGAAGGCAAGCCTGCGTTGCAGAGGAGGAAGAAGTAGCGGGAGAAGGCAAGAGGAAGCCGCAGACAAGGAGGAAGAGGAAGGAAGCAGTGAAAAAGGAAGGAAGAGGTGCAAGATGGTGGGAGGAAGCAGTGGTGGACAATGAGGACAATGGGACTTGAACATCTGTGGATTTTGGTATCCACGGGGAATCCGGAATGGATCTCCTGTGGATACAGAGGGCCACTGTACATTTTTACAAAAGAAGAAAGAGTTCTTATTGAGCATGCAGTTATAATAGCAAAATGTTGTTTTAAAAAAGCAAGAATGAAAAATATCAGTTTCTTACTTCTCCAAATTCTTCAAAGAATTCATTTTTATGTCTATGCAGAGTATCAATCACTTTAGTCAGGATAAGAGGCAGCCTGTCTGTAATTGTATTATATGCAAAGGACCTATAAAGAACAAAACAGAATCATTTTAGGTTTGTAAATAATAGGTTTCAACCGTGGTTACAAGTATTACTGGGCAAATGAAATCTAGAAAACAGTAACATTCTTCATTCAAGGATAGACTGCACTGCATCTGGACATCATACTAAATCATGGTTTATGACAAGAACCAAACTAGCTTTGTGTACTCCTCCTCAGCTCTCTTCCTGTAACATGGCCATACAGATGAAGTAAAAAACCTTTTTGCACTGATTTTTTATTAACTGCCAGTTTGTTTGTTTGTCATTTGAACCCAATGAACAGTGATTGATCTTAACTATGATTTGTTCAAGCAAGCCAACTTCAAACCATGGGTTATGAAGCAAGCCTCTTTGAAACAAGCCATAATTTGGATTAGCTACAGTGTGTGGGGGGCAGGTGGGTAGTTTGATGCAATGTTGAACTGTAGATAGCCAAAATCAGAAGCTTCCTGTTACTTATTATTGGTCCTGGAGAAGACAGAAGAGCACTACGTGCACTGGAAAATCAAGGATTATTCTTGTTACAATAAAGTATAGTAGAACACAATGGGATTTAATTCTGAATAAAAATGTTGCTAGCCAAGGCAAAATCTTAAATCAAGCCTGGTGCTGAAACGGAGGGACCCTAGATGCCAGTTTCCCACTTCTAAAGAGAAGGGGACTATTCACAGGAATAAGATTAAAGCCAAGAGGGAGTGGGACCAGAGGAGGAGAGCCATTCCTCATGAGAACAACTATCTTCTTCACCCCAAAGAGGCAGCATGGCAGGAAAGAAGGGAAGGGATTTCCAGCCAGAGGAGGCTGAGAGAGTGTGACTTGCCCAAGACCAAGTAATTATACTGTAAGTAATATTGTAGTGTGAATTCAAGTTGTTTCTGACTTATGCCAACCCCAAGGTGAAACTATTATGGGGTCTTCTTGGCCAGTTTATTCAGAGAGGGTTTGCCATTGCCGCCATCCTCTGAAGCCGAGAGTGTGTGACTGGCCCACTGTCACCCAGTGGGTTTTCATGACTGAGCGGGATTCGAACCCGGGTCTCCAGAGTCCTAGCCCAACGCTCTCAAACCACTACACCACGCTGGCTCTCTAGGAAAGATAGCATTCCCTTAAATAATTTGATTTATCTATTCCCCAAAATGATAACCTGAGATAAAGCATAATTTAAACTTTGTAGGAATTAAGAAATAAACCAGCCATTAGTTAATATTGGGTTTTTTGTTGTTGTTGTTTCCGACTTTAAGGTGACCCAATCATGAGGTTTTCTTGGCAAGATTTGTTCAGAGGGGGATTTACATTACCAATCCTCTGAGGCTGAGAGACTGTGACTCGCCCAAGGTCACCCAACAGGCTTTCCATGGCTAAACAGGGATTCGAACCCTGGTCTCCTAGTCCAACACACAAACCACTACTCCAGCCTGGCTCTCCTTCCGGGAAGAGAGAATTCCCTCCCCCCCTCCATCCTTCCAAGGCCGCGTCCCCGCTTCCAGGAAAGGCGGAAGGCAGAAGGAGACGCACCCCTTGTACTTGCCCGCCAGGGAAACCGGCAGCGAGGACGCCTGCGCCGCCATCTTGAACCGTTGTGACGCCATCGCCGACCCTGGAGGAGTCACGCGGCTTCCAAAAGAGGAGGCCTCTTCTCATTGGCTGAGCCTTTCGGTGGGCTCCCGCGAACTGACCAATTAGGGCACGAGGGAACCAGTGAGAGTGGCTCCAGTGAAGGGAGGGAGCCAGGAGGAGGAGGAGGACTGGGCGGGGCCTCGGTGGCGGTTGGTCTCGCGCCGGCAGGGTGGGCGGGGCCTCAGGGAGCTGGGGCGCAGAGTATGACTTCACGCGCTCCGCACCTGAGGGGAGGGGGCGGGGCCTAGGCGCCGGAGGCGGATGGCTTCCTTTCCTTGGACCAGGTCGGTAGTCTTGCTCCGTGTGTCTTCGACCCCATGAGTTTCATAGGGCTTTTTGGGGCAAGGAATTGTCGGAGGTGGTTTTGTGGCCAGCTCCTTCCCCTGAAATATAAGCCCTACAGCACCTGGTCGGTCTCCCATCCAAGTGCTGACCAGGGCTGGCCCTGCTTAGCTTCCAAGATCTGGTGCCTTTAGGGCAGTAGTTCCCAAACTTTGGGTGTTTTGGACCTCAGCTCCCAGAAGCCACACCAAGCTTAGCAAATAGTCAGGAATTTTGGGAGCTGAAATGCAGAACATCTGGAGGACCAACCTTTGGGAACCACTGCTTTAGGGTGCTTAAGCCTACAGCACCTGGTCGGTCTCCCATCCAAGTGCTATCCAGGGCTGACCCTACTTAGCTTCCAAGATCAGACGGGATCTGGTGCCTTTAGGGCAGTGACTCCCCAAACTGTGCCCTTTAAGGGATTTTTGCCAGAATCCCAGACTATTGGCCAACATGACTGAGGAGCCTTCTGGGAGCTGAAGTCCAAAATTCCTTAAAGGGCACAGTTTCGGGATCACTGCTTTAGAGTGTTTAAGACCCCTGAATCCTGTTCTGAGGGGCATTTATTTAAGGCTTCGGGAGGCACGACTTCAGGGCGACCAGACATCCTCCCTTTTTCCAGGGCATGTCCTCCATTTCAGCCTCCTGTCTGTCCAGGAGAAATATTCCAAAATGTCCTCCATTTTTGATTATGACTAAGAAGCATGAATTTATATTTCTGTGAGTGTTTTTAGCCTTTATTTGGCAATGTCCGCCATTTTTCTTCCATGCCCTACATTTTGTGGTGCCTTGCCCTCCTTTGTGGTTAGGACATCTGGTTGCCCTGCTTATTGCGAGGTTGTTGTGAGCCTTCAATTCATTTCCAATTTATGGTAACCCTAAGGCAGTGATGGCAAAACGTTTAGGGACTGAGTGCCCAAACTAAAAGGCCTTCTGGTATGGGGTGTTATCCAGTGCCAGAGGTGGGACTTCCACCCTCCAGGAGCGGGGCTTCCAGGGTGGAACTTCTTCCCCCCCCATCCTCCCAGGCCTTCAGCTGCCTCGCCAGTGGTCGAGGGGGAAAGAAGAGGAACAGGCATGTGTCTCTTCCTCCTCCTTCCTCCACGCCATCCTGCCCTTTAGTTGTTGCCGGAGAGGCAGATGAAGGCTGGGGAGGGTCTGGAAGAAGGAGGAACAGGCATGCGCCTCTTCCTCCTTCTCTCCAACCTTTGCGTGCCAGGGAAAATGGCTCCGTGTGTCATCTCTGGCACGCGTGCCATAAGTTTGTCATTATGGCCCTAAGGCGACCGACCCTACTATGGGATTTTCTTGGCAGAATTTGTTCAGAGGAGAGTTGCCCTTGCCTTCATCTGAAGGTGAGAGAGCATGTAGGTCGTCTAGTAGGTTTTTCTGTCAGACTCTGGTCTCCCAGTGTCATGTGTGTTTGTGTGTGTGAGAGAGAGAGAGGGCCTCTACACATGGGTCCTTTGGGCTATCCTGGAGGCAGGGATGGGGAGGGGCAGCCGCACGGCGGCCACCTCAACCCCTCCCTGAAGATGTCCAGATGCCACACGGCATTACACACAACGCGCGCCATCAGGATGTCCTTCCAGCGCAGCCTTTTGACACGCTGCACCGGAAGGGGCGCTAAAGAGCTGCACGCCGGCTCTTAGGGCGCCCATTTTGCCGGCTCTGAAAGGAGCGGCATTTTGCCGCTCCTTTCCGAGGTGGCAAAAGGGAGGATCGGGGCCAAGGTGTCCGGCAGCCTCGGTCTCAATCCTCCCCTTCCCAGGGCAGCCCAAGGCCACCTGTCTACATCCCCCCCCCCAAGACTTATGGTGACCCTATGAATTTCACAAAGCAAGGAATCCTTAGAGATGGTTAAATGTTTTTGTCTTTACAACCTGCTGAACTCTTAAGAAATGTAATATTGTAAATTTTGGTGGTTTATGAGAAGCAGGTGATAGATTAAAATTGGCAACTGAAGCAACCAAGATTAAAATAAACAAAGTTATTGTATAAGAAAAATATAAGTAGAGTTAAGATTTTACAGATAGTTTTTAAGACACCAGTGAAAGAGAAAGTGTCAAAGGATATCAGTCTTACATCATTTAAGGAATGTACTTTTTACAGCAAAGGAGTATATTGACAAATGGATGAGAGACAGCCTTTTATTTAATAGCTTTTCCTGAGTCAAGGATGTACAAAGGATAAACACAATATTACTTCAAGCTTGTATGCAGAGAGTTCTGAGCCTGGACAGTTACTTTTTAAATGTATTCCACTCCTATAATTTATTACAGTTTTTAAAAAGTATTTCTTTTGCCATGCTAATTTTCATACTTGTTTTAAAATCCTTAGGTTTCATAGATGGCATAAAACCTGAGAAATTCTACTTACAATGCCTATAAAATGTTCTTTAAAACTAGTAACTGTTACTCATGGCACCAAACTAATAATGACATTGCCGATGGTAATATTTGAAGTGTAACATTACTTCACACCTCATCACAAAAAGAGAAAGAACATTGCATGTAACTCATTACTTCCAACTTCTGAGATACTTTGAGATAAAAATAGTCATGAGGCAACTGAACTTTTAGAAAAGAGTAATCTTTTATATAATAATAATAAGTTTTATTTATATTTATATATAGGGACATGGTGGCTCAAGTGGTTAAGATGCTGACTGTTGACTGTAAGATTGGCAGGTTGGCAATTCAAGGCCCAAGTGCTGCATGATGAGGTGAACTCCCCTCACTGGTCCCAGCTTCTGCCATCCTGGCAGTTCGAAAGCATGCAAATGCAAGTAGATAAATAGGTACCACTTTGGTGGGAAGATAAATCGTGTTCTGTGCAATCATGTTGGCCACATGATCACAGAGTAGTCTCTGACAACGCTGACTCTTTGACCTATGGTTGGACGTACTTGACAACCTTGTCAACAGGGAATACCTTTACCTTTTAATCTTCTATATTTTTCTTCCCTTCAATTCAGTAGAATTCCTCATTGACCCTCTAAAGGGCCAAAGCCAGCTGTTGAGGTTCTCTTGTTAGAAAAAAAAAATCAGCTCCTATGTGCCATTGCCTCAGTAGTCCCCTCACCTAACCATATGGGGCTATTAACAGTTTAAACAATTTAAGCAGATGAATTGTGTGGATGTTTGCACAAGGTCCTTCCATCTCTAGATTTCATGACAGCAGTTTGTTGTTGTATGCCTTCAAATCATTTTCAATTTATTGCAACATTATGGTGAAAGTATCTCAAGGTTTTCTAAGGCTGAGAGTCCCAAGGTCACCTAGTGGGTTAATATGGTAAAGCGGGGAATTGAACCCTGATCTCCAGAGTTGTGGTCCACCACTCAAACCACTACACCACGCTCCTTCCTAGGCAGGATTAAATGAACATGGGGCCTTTGCAGACTGCCAGAAATAGTGCAAATTGAGTCCACTATAAGGGTTAGGGTTAGTGCTAGGGAATCATGGGAATTGTTTTTTTCCTGAGACATTGAGCCTTCTCTGTCAGAGAGCTCTGGTGCCACAATAAAATACAGTTCCCATGATTCCCTAATCCTAACCCTTAAAGTGGACTTAATTTGCACTATTTCTGGCAGTCTGCAAAGGCCCATGTTCTTGCTGCTTTTCCACATATGAGCAGGAGGAGGGTTGGTTTTTCTTTTTCATCTAGACTCTCACGTTAACTTCTCTTCATCATGTTTCAATCACAGAATAGCATGGGAAGTTTTTGTCCCAATCCATTGCCTTGTGTGGAACAAGAAATATCCCAATTTTTGTCCAAGCTGTTTTTGTTTCTGGGTTTGTTTTTGGGTTTTTTGTCTCTTGAAAAAAACACCTGCACATAGCAGGTATCTGAAACTGAAAACTTTGCTTAAAACTCTTATGTTGACCATGTCAAAACATGCCTACCCTGTAAATATAATCCTGTCTGCTAGTATGAAGATTAATGCATATTTGTTGAATAATTAGGTATGGTGGAATCACTATCTTGGTGTGCTAGGAGGAGTGAAATTGGACCACTGAACAGTAGTTTTCTCCACTACCTTTTTGTTTCTTGTTAAGCCAGTTCTGTTAAGGAAGTCTTTTAAAACACTTTGTATTTGAATTGTTATTCTAAAGTCATTCTTTCCCACTAAACCCACATT